CACGGAAACCCCCGTGGGACACGGTGCCACGCGCGGGGGGGAGCACACTCTCACGCAATGCGGGACGGCCGTGGCCCGCCTGGAAGCGTCTGTGTACCCGCCCCTGCGGGAGAGCAGGACACCGCGTGCCCTTCTGAGGAGCAGGGCGGGTGTGTCTCGTTCTAAATGCGTCCTCTGCCCTGGGCGTTCCTTCGTAGCTGCGTGGCGACCGTGCCGTGACGGCGTGAGTCCCTGGGAGTGGACGTGATCAGCGATTACTTAAGCCCCTCTCCCTGCGTGCACGCCTCTGACGTCACTGGGCGTGTTCATTGGGAACTGTAGGCGCTTTAACTTAATTTGTGGTTTGAATCTTGCTTCGGGGTTTTGTGATCTGAATATTTTTAGGATGCGTAAACATTTACTGAGGAGGCCACAGCGTCTTCAGCATGTTCTTTAATTGGAAACGGGTCTTGTTTCTGAATTCTTGTAACTTCAAGGAAGAGCCCAAGTGCCTAGCTCCCTCTCCTGTGCCCGCTGCAGCGGCCCACTTCCCCCCGGGCGGGGGGGGGCGGGGCTCTCTCGTCTCATTCGTGGTTTTATTTTTACTTATATTTTTAAAATATATTTTTATTGGTTTCAGAGAGGAAGGGAGAGGGAGAGAGGTAGAAACATCACTGACGAGAGAATCATGGATCCGCTGCTTCCTGCACGCCCCCTACTGGGGATCGAGCCCACAACCCGGGCATGTGCCCTTGACCATGACCTTCTGGTTCTTAGATCTACACTCAACCACTGAGCCACGCCAGCTGGGCTCTCACTTGTGTTTTTATATTTTTATTTTATTTTTTTTAAGGATCTTTTTTAGATAGTGCTTTATTTGGGAATGGCTGCAGCATTCTGTTACTATTTTTTCTTTATTAATTAAGGTATTACATATGTGTCCTTATCCCTCATTGCCCCCCACCCCCTCACTCATGTTTTTAAATGGCCTCCTTAAAAATAAGCGATTGGGGAAAAGGAAAATGTTTCAGTGTGTTTTGAAGTAGATGAAAAGACTTACATCTTGAATTAAGTCTTCTAAAAAAGAACTTTGCCCCGTGTTTTAATAGTTAATTAGCAATATATTGTAATAAATATACAGTCATTTTTCTTGCATATTGCTTTTGTAAATTTATACTCTGGTGATTGTTTCTTTAATGAGGGCTTTTATTCCCAAATTGTTTTGATATTGAGCCTGCGCTTTAACGTATTTTATGTAAATGACGTGACCGCAGAGGACGTCACTTACACTCAGCCAGACACCCGGCGAGCGGGAGCCTGCGTGGTGCTGGGTGAGCCGGCGGCTCCCGGCACAGACCCTCCCCCTCCGACGGCAGCCAGGACGCCAGTGCCGATCGGTGATCCCGGGGCGTGTGGCACTCCAGCCGGTCAGATACAAGAGGAAAGACATGAGGTGTAGCCCCACAGCCAACGCGAGAGAGGACCCAGCATTCACCGAGAGGTGACTGGGATGAGAGCCGGTCTCGGGAGGGGCTGGGTACCAAGTGTGAGCGGGTGTGAACGCCTTTCCCGGGCACCGAGGAGAGACGCCAGGAACAGGCGCAATTGAGTATCAAACATACATCAGTGGTGCCGGCTGGTGTGGCTCAGTGGTTGTCGGCCCATGGCTCCGGTCAGGGCACATGCCCGGCTCCATCCCCAGTAGGGCGTGCAGAAGGCAGCTAGCCGGTGATGTTCCTCTCCCTCCTCTAAAAAACCAATGAAAACATTTTTAAAAAGCATAAGTAAATGTGGGGGCAGGACAGTGACCGTCGGCAGGCCGAGTGAGCAGCGAGGCCACGGCTCCGTTCTGAGCACGTGGTTCACCCTGGAGGAGACCTGCAGGCGCCCGTCCCTCGGGGCCACGGCCTGTCCTCTCCTTCGGAACCGCTGCTGCCCGTCCAGCTGTGAGCGGAGCGCCCACTCGGTGTTTACAGAAGCTTTCGGAAGCTCTGTCTCCTCGGGTCATGCGCGTCCAGCCGACCGGAGCGCAGGTCCCTGTGAGGTGCATAAGCCCCTGTGAGCTGCGGGCCCCTGTGAGGTGCATAAGCCCCTGTGAGGTGCATAAGCCCCTGTGAGCTGTGGGCCCCTGTGAGGTGCGGGCCCCTGTGAGCTGCGGGCCCCTGTGAGCTGGGGGCCCCTGTGAGCTGCGGGCCCCTGTGAGCTGGGGGCCCCTGTGAGCTGCGGGCCCCTGTGAGCTGGGGGCCCCTGTGAGCTGGGGGCCCCTGTGAGCTGCAGGCCCCTGTGAGCTGCAGGCCCCTGTGAGCTGCGGGCCCGCCGTGATGCCGCTGCGCCCCTTCGCCGGGCTGGTGGCGGGTGGTTCCCGTTCATGGGGAACGCGGGCTCCCAGTGCAGTGTGTGCTTCTCAGCGGCAGAGGTTTCCTGTGAGCTGACCGAGACCAAAGGAGCAGGGCCACCTCCCTGGGTTCTCGTGTCTATCTGTCCCCCCTTCCTGCTCCCTCCCAGCACTCCCCCGCCCCCCCCCCCCACCTCAGCTCGGAGCCGTGTCCTCAGCACACTCTGTCCTCAGTGCAAGACTTCCTGAGATAAGCAGCCTTTTTATAGCCGCAGCTCCTCTCGCCTCTGCGTCCCCGTCCCCGGGGGAACTGCGTCGCACATGGGCGGGGAGGCCGCTGCGGGCCGGGCGCTGGCCCTTCCACAAAGCGCCGTGCGTGGGGAGTGGTTGCTGCGATGCAGGAGGAGCCATCACGGGCGCGGGTGACGTCTCAGGGCCGCAGTGGAGGCTGGCGCTGTGCTGCTGGAAGATGGCTGCTTCTCACCTCTGCCCCACCTGGGGTCCAGGGAGTGCGCGGGCGGGGCGCACAGTGGGGCCTTCGGTAGAGGCACAGACCCTGGGCGGGGGAGGGGTTTGTCGGCCGCCTTCGCAGGTCACTGTCTTTCATCTCCCCTGGGGCTGGAGAAGGGCTCCTGAGATCTGAGATTGGAGGTGAGGCTCCCCAGCCACAGGGCACTGCGGTGCTACGCAGACGGGAGCGGCGTTGAGGCCGGCCAGTGCCGTCCGGTGACACCTGGCCGGTGAGACCCAAAAACTGCCAAAGGAGAGCGTCCCGGAGCAGCGCCAGGAGCAGGGCAGACGCACAGGTTCCAGTGAGACGCGTGCCCACAGGCTGGGAGCGGAGTGAGTGCGGCTGACGTCCGTGAGCTGGTGTGGGCAGGGCTTGGTGTTGGGGATCTTGGTCCCGGCACCACATTTGACTCGGTCCCAGCCCTGAATGTCAGCCCTGGTCTCGTGCCCGTGAGCCTCAGGCCGGGCCTGGTACCGGCACGCGGTGGCATCCAGCATTGGTTGGACGTGTGAATAAATACGTTCAGAGGAAAATGTCTGGAAGAACAAATGATAACGTTAACGATCTCCCAAACCAAGCGTTTCCATGGTTTAAGAACACGAGGTCAGGTCTCCTCAGGAAGATGGTTGACCTGGTGCCTCTGCTGGCACTTGGCAGGGGAGAGACCGCTCACCGGGTGTTGGTGCAGCCTCTCGCTGTCGCTGAGGGAGGCTCTGGAACGCGGGTGGCTGGAGGGTGGCCGGGCCACTGAGGGAGGAGGAGCCACAGGCCCAGCTTCCTGGCGCAGTCACTCGCTCGCTCGGGAAGCCGCTCTCTGTGCTTCGTCCTGGTCACAGAGCACGCGGTCTGATTCTGCACCGACCGTCCCCCACCCGCACTGGCGCGCAGACTCCCGAGGGCGCTGGGGGTGGCTCGTGCCACGACCTTTCTGCTGGGCAGCACCGAGCCTGCTCTGCGGGGTGGCGAGCTCACTCGATTCCCAGCCCGTCTGTAGGACACCTGGGACTGAGAATCTTCTCGAAGCTCCGTGAGCCTGCAGAAGGCGGAGCATCCGGCAGCAGAGCACTGACAGCCTTTCACTTAAGGACGTTGTTGGGTTGTTTTGTTCTGTTTTGATCCTCACCGGAGGGTATTTTTCCATTGATTTTTAGAGAGAGTGGGAGAGGGAGAAACAGAGAGAAACATCGACGTGAGAGAGACACGTCGATTGGTTGCCTCCTGCGTGCTCCTGACCAGGGCTGGAGCCTGCAACCAAGGTACGTGCCCTTGACCGGAATTGAACCTGGGACCCTGCGTCCGGAGGCTGATGCTCTATCCATTGAGCCACACGGGCCAGGGCTGGAGACGGTTTCTGTAGAAGGTGGTTCCCGGGGAGCGTTGTCTGCGCCCGGATGGGGCTGCGCGGTCAGCAGCCGATTGGTGGAAGTTACCGCAGTGCTCCTGCCGTAGCACGCGTCTGAGCAGTAAAGCCAGTGTGTCCCCCATCGGCCCTGCACACGCGTGACCCCAGAGCTGCGGGTGAGCCAGGTCAGCCCTGCCGGGGGGACCGAGCCTGCCCATCTGGAGTGAAGCTGCCGCCCGGCCCCCGGGAGCACGTCCCCCAGGCCCAGCCCGGGAGCCGGGGCGTGGGCGTCCTTGCGTCCGTTCCTTCCCGAGTCTAATCTGCTGCTGGCGGTGAGCTCCCCTCACGCGGCTGTGCCGGACGGTGTCCTCCTGATTCTTTCCCTACGAGGCTGCCCGCCCGGCAGGGACCCGGGGCCCTGCTTCCCGTGTTCTTGTTGCCTGGCCGCCACCTGCCGGCACCTGCCGTCTGGGACCAGCGTTTCATGGTGATGACTGTGACCGTCACGACCAGGATCCTGAGCTACAGGAACGGCGTGGGGTGTTCCCCACGGCCCTGACCAGGGAGGCGGCTGATCCGGGAGCTCTCCTCCGTCTGGGCGGCCCTTTGTCAGAGCTTCTCCCCACAGGTGTGAGCGGGGCTGTGGGCGCAGTCGCTCTCGTCACACGGGGCGGCCCGCGTGGGGCAGGTGCTTCTGTGTGAACTGGGCCCGTCGCTTTGCCGCTTTAATTTACTCACCACAGTGAGCTGAGCTGTTTCTTTGGTTGAGCTTTTCCTGTAAACAGGCTTTTCTCTTATCCTTGTACGTGAAAAGGAGAGAGTTTTGTGTGTTTTTAAATATGGAACACGTCACGGATTTGCATGTCATCCCTGCGCAGGGGCCATGCTGATCTCTTATCGTTCCAGCTTTAGTAGACGTGCTGCGAAGCGAGCGCACAGGGGTGTTAAAAGGGATTTCCTAACCCGTACAGCGCAGCTGCTTTCAAATAAAGCACAGACCAGCGTTGACGCTCAGCCTCACTAACGATCCGCGTGTGGACCAGGTTTCTGGCGAGGAGCCATGAAACATGACAGTGGTGGCGGCTTCATCCTGTGGCTCCACCTCAGCCGTCAGGAACCCTCGCCGCAGCCTGAGAGGCAGGAAGGAAGGGTGGTCCCTGGGCCGCCCACGGGGGACCCGAGACCCAGGCACCCTTGTCACCAAGTAGATCACGCACCGTGCAGGCCTGGGGCTGTGGAGAGAACAAGCGCCACCCAGAGCCGCCTCACAGCCTCCCTTCCCGGCGGGTAGAGCAGAGGCCTCGTCAGGCCCGGCGCTGAGCGAGAACGGAGGCCAGGAGCTGGCAGCGGGGGCTGCGATGTGGGGTCAGGGGCCACGCAGGGCCTCGCTGAGGCTGACCTTCGCGTAGTGGCTGTGGACTGAGGGAGGGGGTCATGTGGATCCTGGGCAGCGGGTTTCAGGCACCAGGAGTCAGCAGGGCCAGGCCCCAGGCAGATGCAGGGAGGCCCTGGCCCAGGGCAGGCAGGAGATAAGGAGGACACGGGGTCAGGGGCAGCAGGCTGGACGCGGGGTCAGGGGCAGCAGGCTGGACGCGGCGTCAGGGGCAGCAGGCTGGACATGGGGTCGGGCAGCAGGCTGGACGCAGGGTCAGGGGCAGCAGGCTGGGCGCGGGGTCAGGGGAAGCAGGCTGGGCGCGGGGTCAGGGGAAGCAGGCTGGACGCGGGGTCAGGGGCAGCAGGCTGGACACGGCGTCAGGGGCAGCAGGCTGGGCGCGGGGTCAGGGGAAGCAGGCTGGGCGCGGGGTCAGGGGCAGCAGGCTGGACATGGGGTCGGGCAGCAGGCTGGACGCAGGGTCAGGGGCAGCAGGCTGGGCGCAGCGAGCCTCTGTGGGGACCGGAGCTCCTACCCTCATGAGAGGGAGTCAGGTGGGGTTTGCAGAGGAATGCGATGGTGGCTGGTTTGAGAATGACCGAAGGGGCCAAGAGCTGACGTGAGGAGACCAGCGAGAAGGTTTGCAGGAATCCAGGTGGGACGTGATGGTGGCCGACCAGAGCCTGAGCCACGCGAAATGTTAATGTCACACAGAGAGATTTCCATCGGGAGCGAGACCCAGGGCATTCTCAGATCTCAGACGTTATCTCTAGGAAGAGAGATTTTTGAGAACAGAAAGCAGGCTGACAGTGCCGGGCGGGGGTTGGGCCAGGGGAGAAGGTGAAGGGAGTGAGCAGTGCAGACGGGTAGGTACAGAGCAGTCACGGCGACGGCGGCACCGGGCATCGTCGGGAACGTCGTGATGACCGTGTGGGGCCCGAAGCGGTGGGACCTGGGTGCCGTCCACCTGAACCCGACGGAGTGAGGCTGAGTGTGACTGTCACCGAAAGGGAACGAGGCGAACATTCTAAGACGTTAACAAAAGTTACTTCTGGACAGCGATACTTTTGAGGGTTTAGTTCGCTTCTCTATGTAGCTGTTTCCTCTATTTTCTACAGTAAAAAATGACATTTTTGTAATCGGAAAGAAACAAACTTCATTTTAAGAAGTGTTCCCGTACAGCAATGCGGTCCAACAGAAATGTAAGGTGAACCTCATACACACGTTACCCACAATCAGCCCGGCTGGTGTGGCTCAGTGGCTGAGCGTTAACCCATGAACCAAGAGGTTATGGGTTCGATTCCCAGTCAGGGCACATGCCCAGGTTGCAGGCTCGATCCCCAGTAGGGGGTGTGCAGGAGGCAGCCGATTGATGTTTGTGTCTCATTGATGTTTCTTTCCATCTCTCTATCCCTCTCCCTTCTCTCTCTCTCTCAAATCAATGAAAAAAACACATTTTAAATTACCCACATGGAGAGAGGTAAAAGAAATAAGTAAAATGATGTATTTTAATGCAAAATATCCAAAATATTATAATTCACATAGTCAGTATTAGAAATTTTAAAGTATTTCCATTTATTTTTCATGCGAAGTCTTTGAAATGCAGTGAGTGTTATAACACACCTCAGTTCGGACTGGCCGCGTCCCACTGCCCACAGCCCGGTGGCGGGGGTCTCGGCCATGCTGCTGTGACAGGTGTGTGAGTGACCGTGTTCCCTGTCTGTAAAGTCGGGTCTGAACTCATCGCATCTCCTCTGAGTTCACCAGGCGTTCAGCATGTCCCTACTTCTAGATCTAGTTAACTTTTTAACAAGCAGAGAACCAGAAATGCCGGCCGGGTCCGCCCAGGTCAGTGCAGATCTGCTTCTGAAGTCCGTGCCACCCTCCTGCCCCTGCCCGTCGCCCCGACACACCGCCCAGGTGCGGGAAGAATATGGGTTAAAACAAGCACTCGCATCGGCATCCCTGATCCTGAGCTGCGTCCGTCTCCTCCGTGAAGTGGGCACAGCACTGCGCCCCCACGTGTCCCGAGGTGGAGTGAGCCCGTGGCTGCTGGGCTCCGGGCAGGCTTGTTCCGGGGCGGGCGCAGCTGTGGGCGGTGCCGTGTGGCTGGAGCATCTCAAACGGCCTTTGGGGTCCCTGCATCTGCCCACTGGACGCCTTGGTCAGAATCGAAAGGCCTGCGGGAGATGGCGTGTCCGTGACCCCCGAGCCTTTGTTTCCCATGACGTGCCCAGGCCCACGCCTGAGGGTGAAGCGGCCGTTCTCAGGAAGGGGCTCCGCTCCGCTGCTGGGCGCCTGGGAAGCTGGCCGAGCAGGTGGGCGGCTCCCAGAGGAGGGACTGGTGAGGAGCAGCCGGCCCATCAGAACGAGGCGTTGTTCCCCAGAGGAATGGGGGGGGGGCCCTGCACCAGGAGGCCAGCAGCCCTGCCATGGAGCTCGGGGACCCTTTGCCCGCGGGCTGCTCTCCTTCATCGCGTTTCGTGCGGCCTCTACATTGGAAGGTGCCTCCGCGGGGTCAGGCACTGAAGAGGCGCCGCCGCCTTGCCGGCTCCCGGCTCCCAGGACCGTCCTGTTTACGTGGCCAGAGGCCCGCAACCAGCCTCGGGTCTCCAGCAAAACCCGCTCTCCGAGCGCAGGCGCTGCTGTCGGCGGTGAACACACCGCGGACCCTTCCTGGTGTCCCTTCAGGCTCTAGGAAAGGCGCCAGGCGCCCGCACGCCACGTCGGCCACAGCACTTTCCGAGGGAGCCTGGTGAGGACGGCTGGTCTGAGAAGGTGGCTTGATTAGGAGTGAAACTAACACAATGTGTTTGGGGATGAGATAACAGGGTTTGCGATTTTTGGTGTTCGTCCAGTAAAACCAAAAACCCCCCACATCTACATCCCCAGCAGACAGGGAATCTGTTCTTTGGAGGTTTAAATCCTGGGTTTACAGAGTGTCATAGAAATGTGTTCTCTGAGCAGGGCAGTGGTACATGGTAGGGAGGTGAAGTCAGCTGCTCAGGCTGCACTGGTGTGTTTGGGCGACTGGATGCCACGCACCGTTATGGGAACCGCACTCAGCACTTCCTGCTGCCCTTGCCTCGGAGCTGGGAGCGGGGCCTCGGTCGGTGTCTCCGCCTTCGTCTCTCCTTCCTGTGAGTGTGTGGCTGGGGGAACTCGGGCTTTCGCGTGGGAAATGGGTCTTCTGCCGGAAGGTGGCGGGCAGGTGTCTTTCTGTCGTGCCTGCTGTGTGGTCTCGCACATGGTGGCGCTCTGTGCCGTGATGGCGACGGTAGGACTGTCCGCTCCGCACGCGGCCAGTGGGTGTGACACCCCGGGGGCCAGGCTCTCGCTGACCCGGGAGCGCGGGCGCAGTGTGAGCAGACGCCCCGCAGGAAGCACCGGGGCAGTGTGGATGCTCGGCTCCCGCGCGGATAACCTAAAAGGACAAAGGAGAAATGTCTTTTCCTTGATGCCTCACCCTCCAGATGAGGAGACGGAGAAAGGAAGTGCATTCAGGGTGGGAGCCGTGCAGAAGGGCCCCGCCTTCCGCATCGCTGTGGCTCCCGCCTTCATCTCCGAGGTGAACAGAGGGGCCCCGGGAGCAGCGGTTCCGGGTCACGTGTGACTGAGGCCGTGCGCCCTGGGAGGCTAACCCTCTGCGCGTGAAGGCGCCTCGTGGTCTGACCGCGTGCTGTGAGCTGTGGGGCAGGGCGTCGCCTGCGGGGTCAGTCCCCTGGCAGGGCAGGGGCGGGGGCGCCGAGGTCCTGAGCAGCTGCCCCTCTCCGAGGGCCCAAGGTGGAGCGCCCTGCCCGCTGCGTGCACCTGGGCTGTGCAGGCATCTTTCTCGGTTCTGGGC